GTGATAATTCTTTGTTACCTTCAAAACCCTCAAAACATAATTATCCTGAGTTACCAATCTCACACATCGCTACCAAATACGGATTATACAAAAGGAAAGAACTACAATGGTTACAAGAAGAGCAGATTTATTACGAAAAGGTTAATATGAGTGAATTTCACCATAAACAGAAATGTTGCTATAACTGCATACCGTTGCACAGTGATTTGCAGAAAACGTTAATTCAATCAAATGTTCGGTTACGGAAACAGACAGCATAATACCGGGAACTAAGAATGATCAACACGCTGGCGGAACAAATGCTTAGTTCTGCCCGACAAGAGCGAAACCAGCCCTGCCCGAAATCAGTGTATAGACACATTTTGGATGCAGTAGGCAGTTGTCTATCGGTAGCATAAGAAATAACGGTTTCCGCTCAGAAGCGTGAGACGATAAATCCGAATGTGCTATATGGGATACATGCAACATCAGTTAAACGCATTTGATACGAGCACAGTTTCACTTTTTTCAATGAACGCAGTTAAATCAGTTCAGTTCAGTTTGTACAACCACTAGTCATGCACCTTCGTGCGACGGTTTTGGGTGCTATCTTTTGGTTACCCATTTGGATGAAGAATAGGAGAAAGACAGGAAGGTTGAAAGCAGAGTCGAACAGAAAACGGAGAATTCCAGTGGTCTAGGGTTGCAAAGTAATTGAGAAGATGCACGAATGTCACTGTTTACGACACAGTTATATCACTCAGTGTCTCTAACCATTCGTTACGATCATCCCGAGCTCTCCATCCAGGCAGCCTAACGGGACCTATGAGACCCAGTACCCTGGTTAGGGATTTCATACCCTCGTGCCAAGTCTTAGCTTGACCACCTTTTACTTTTTTCTACCCACTACCTGCCTCGAAAAACATCGTACGCCGTGGCAACCTACTTGGTGACACGCGTAATACATGTCCCAACCAACGTAATCTATGCAAGTTGACCTCTCGCTCCAGTGGGCGACCGCGGGTACCGAAAACTCTGCACCTAACCTCAGCATTGCTCGTCGGGCTGTCCCGCCAGACTCCTGTAATGCTGCATAGACAGCGGTGTTCAAACACCGACAGTTGAATGATAATGAACTGTGCGGAAGTCCCAGTGAACGTATTTATTTCAAACAAATTAAGACCAGGCCGCATACAATCTCTGAACAGAGACCCAAAAGATGGAACATTAGTTTCCGAGCTACCATAGGCTCAGAGCGAGTTTCGGTCGACAACTGTGCACCGATTTCGACCTCCATCGGACTAGGGAACCACGAAAATGAAGAACAGTGGATCGTCAAAACTGCATACACTGGTGCACCAGAGATGACGGGATGGAGCAACACATACGGAGTGGTTTTTGGCCTACGGCCAATTGACTATAAGGACGTGCTTTGTTGTGACAAGTTCATGGGATTGGGCCGGAATCTAGCACAATCAAGCAGATGTGTATGTGTGTGCATGTGTGCAGTGAGTTGTACAATTGCGAAAGGGGGGTTGGGTATGAAAAGAGCAGAAGAACAGGTTGGAACCATGGAACAAGACAATAGGGGAGGTAAGAAGTTAAACGCAATCAACATTGTGTGTGTGTTGCAACCCGCTAAGAGCGTAGTCAACAGTCAACTGGTTCTGTCGACAGTGCCCCTACAACACTATAAATAACACACGGTAAATGTACGTGAAAAATTAGACTAAGTAGATGTACGACCACCACATATAGTCAGTTTTAGGCTATGGACTGAGTCTATAAGCGGTCGGGTCGATTGAATGTATATCACATCAGCGTTCTTTTTTCACATGGTGCTGGAATTGGGACAGGGCAAATGAACCTCGAAAAAAAAAACGATTAATCAACGGCGCTCACAGCAAACTAGTGAAACATAGGTCAATCGATATATACTGAAAAAACTCGACAAAAAATTAACCATTAGTCTCATGACTTCGGTTAAATAGATCGAAAACCGAACCGAAGTTTGACAGGAACCACTACGTGCAACCCAGAATCCTTACCGTTGTAGTCAAGAGAAATCGTTATTCATCAAACATTATGAGAATTCTAACAGCTAGAACAGTTCGAATAACTACGACTAAATAGTGGAAACCCGATCTAATACGCTCACATGATGCCACCTAATGGGTTTGTCGAGAGCATATTGTGTCACCAGTCGTGATCAATCAGTCATACGTGGACGAAACAGATTAGCCTCAGTCAATAAACATGCAGGAATACATTGCGCGGGTACAAAAATCTGATGGAATCTGGAGGTCTGACGAGCCGAATAAGTCAATTTGTACCATTTTAAACGTTTATTATCATCACTATCATCTTCTTACAGCAGAATANCAATGCATACAAAGTGGTGGTCTAATGCTGGCGTTGTTGGTCCATGTTGTCGGACGATCGATCCGTGAGAAGACGCGTTTGAATCCCACCACCAACAAATCACACTAATGGTAGACGGTCAGTATACCACGCGGCTAGTTTGTTGTCGTAGTGTCGTCCATTGGTCGGTTTGCTGTCTGAGTTCTATTCCAAATCTGTTTGAATCATTTCCAGATGGAGCAAATCTAGAGCGTCAATGCTTTCTAAGACACTGACAAAAGGTTCCGGTTCTGTGCTTGTCGCGCCTGGAGATGTTTTGGTGCATTCTCGTGTTCCCTTTAAAGTACCTCTTCCAATTATATTTGCATGGTCCAGTTCAAAAAACGTCATTCACTGCATCCATCAAATTTGAAAATTATAACCTCTCGTTTTGTTGTTTCCCCGTAAGGGCGTTCGCGTCTTCATTTTTCTACTA